TGTCAATTTCATTTAAAATATTCCCAGAATTAAAAACTTGGGACTTATTGACTTAATAGCACCAGTAACATGTCAAACTAACATCAAATGGTTCCTGATATGATGCTGAGAAGAATGTGACATCATTTCTATAATACTTCTGCCAAAGATCCATGACTGGGTTTAATCCTTAGGAAATACTCCCCAAGTTGGAGAACACTGTATAAAATAACTAGCTTACACTCTTCAGAGAGTCAAAACAAAAATAGAAAAACTATTCCAGATTAAAAGAGACTATCAAGACATGATACATGATGCAAGACTTTTTCTATAAAGAATGTTAACTGAAACAACTAAATCTGTAGGGTCTAAAGATTAGATAATAGTATTATAACTATTAATTTTCTGATTATGATAATCTTTGGTTTTATTCTAAAATAAACATTAAGATATTTAAACCCAGAGCCTTGTGCGTGCTAAGCAAGCACTCTACCAATTAGGGGACATCCCCAGCAGTATTGAGTGACATCCCTAGCCCTTTCTATATTATTTTGAGAGGGTCTGGTTAAGTTGCCCAGGTTGGCTTCAAAATCTGCAATCCTCCTTCCACAGCCTCTAGAGTACCTGGGTGTGCACCACTGTGCCCAGCTAGGACCTAAATTTTATCCCTAATTTGTTATTTCTCTAAAAAATAAATACTCATGAATCCTGGATAAATAACAGTGTATATTTGTTATAGTATTGTATAATGAAGAATTTGGCTGGTTTATGTCCTGGTTCCTGGGAAGAATTTTCCTTGAGACAGGAGTGTGTTTGCTATTCATGGTGGACCTCTCACACTGGACAGCTTACGTTAATAAAGTGACTCAAGGTGGGTCTCTGGATAGTTTACTGCTAACAAGATGACTTGGGATGGAAACTGCCACAAAGACCAACCTTTGAACCACATGATATCAACTCAACCTGTGGGGAGGGGAGGGAATGTGAACTGCAAACTATGATTCTGTCAACTTACATAACAAAATCCTGACACAAATTTCAGATACCAGAGCTAGAGGCAGTGGCACAGGCCTGTAATTCCAACCATCTAGAAAGCTGAGGCAGGAGTATCACAAGTTCAAGGCCAGTCCTCAGCAACTCAGTGAGCCCTAAGCAACTTAGCAAGACTCTGGTCTAAAAATAAAAAATAAAAAGGGCTAAGGACATGGCTCAATGGTAGAGTGCCCCCCGAGTTCAATCCCCAGTGCCAGAAGAATAAAAATAAAATAAAAAGGGCTGAGGACATGACTCAATGGTAGAGTACCCCTGGGTTCAATGCAGGAGGTAAAACCTTCAATAAGGTTTGGGGGTGTAGCTCAGTGGTAGAGTGCTTGCCCAGTACATGTGAGGCCCTGATTTCAATTCCTAGCACCACATACAAAAATAACCTGACAAATAATTAATTTAAAAAATCAATTTATGTAAAAGTTTGTTGGAATTCATCTATTTCATAGAGTAGGATAGAAGTTCTAGATAATAATCTTTCTCAAAGGTAAAATGGTTTAAAAAGAACAAGGTCCAAAAAGGGAGAAATTTCAAAGGCATCAAAACAGCTAGCTAAGGCTGGGGTTGTGGCTCAGTCGTAGAGCACTTGCCTAGCATGTGTAAGGCTCTAGGTTCGAGTCTTAGCACCACATATAAATAAATAAAATAAAAGTACAATGACAATTAAAAAAAACCAGCTAGCTAATTTACTCCTATTAATCTGCACTTTGGCTAATTTTAGATTTAAATAGCAAGGTATCATTAATATCCAATCTCAAGCTTCCTTCTTCCTAGAGTGAACACCTAGAACAAAGATTTTAAAAATTTAGCTATATGGCTAATAAACTTGTGAAAAATGATTAACTTCATAGTAAATTTAAGAAATAACAAAATGAGAATTTTATTTTGTCTATCAGTTACAGATTGAGGAAAAAATATCAATACTTAATGCTGCTAAACGAATCAGTGACATTAGGACAATCACATACTGCAGGAATGTGACAAGTAAGTCTGACAATCCCAAGGAAGAGGTATTAAATGATATGTCAACAAATATATCCTTGTTAAACTGGGGAAAAAAAAAAAAAAACTTGTTAAGAAAAAGGAAGAGAGAAGGATGCCTTGTCAATTCATGGCAAAGGATTTTTTTTTTTAATTTTTTATTTTTAGTTGTCAATGGACTTTATTTATTTATATGTGGTGCTAAGAATCAAACCCAGTGCCTCACACATGCTAGGCAAGTGCTCTACCACTGAGACACAACCCCAGTCTGTGGCAAAGGATTTTTGATACAGAAATACATTCCTTGCTACACTAACTATAAAATAGGATTTATTGTCTCTTAAAATATTGACCAAGAACTTTGAATGACAATGATGTGTCAATGTAGGTTTCTCAGTTGTGACAGATGTACTACTCTTGTGGGAAATACTGTTAATAGAGGAAGCTATGCATATATGGGGGCAGAGGGCACATCATGAGAATTCTCTGTACCTTTCTCTTAGTTGTTGTGAACCTAAAAATACTCTAAAAAAATAAAATATATTTTATAAACAGAAATGGATAATTTCAAGGATTATCCATATCTATTATAGAAATTGAAAATCTTCCAACAGATAAACTCTAGGATGACAAATTCATTGGTAAATTCTGGTAAACATGTAAGGATGAAATAATACCAATTCTATACAAATACTTTCAGAAAGCAAAAGAGGAAATACTTCCTAAATTTCTTTGAGGTTGGCCATTACTTTGGTAATGAAACTAGTTTACAAAGGCATAAGAAAAAACACAAATACACCTCTTGTGAAGACCCAAAAATCCTCAATAAAATATTAAAAACCAAATCAGATATATATTTAAAAGATAATGCATGATAAATGGGGCTTCTCTTGAGAATGAGAATTTAAAGCTTGAGGATACAACGGTTGAAAATCTAACACTGTATGAAGGAAAAAACAATCTTTTCTTATATGCTCATCCTCAGTACAGCACAGAACACTTCCCTGACCATGTGTGGGCTGTTCTGTTTCCCCCACCCCATAGCAAGCAATTCTCCAACTCCCTGGACACCAGCTGGATATTCTATAATTCAACTCAATTCTGACACTCCACCTAGAGACAGCATCAGATCCCACAAGGCTGCCCCCATTTCAGGTACCAATCATAAATCTGAGCTTCACATGCTTCCGACTAACTTGGTATAAACTAGGAGTTCCCATGACCTCCTCCTCCTCTATATTTTGATAGAATGGTCCTAGAACTCAGAGAAACAATGTTCACCAGTTTATAAAGAACAGAGATGAGCAGACAAAGAGATACATAGGGTAAGGGATGAAGGAGGGCACAGAGATGGCACACTCCCTCTAGGTACAATGCCCTTCCAGCAGTTCATTGTGTACAGCAATCTGAAAGCTCATCAAACCTTGTGACTCAACAGTTTCTACAGAGTTTACTCTCCAGCACTGCCTACCCCATGCCCTTTCCTGGATGTTGGTAGGTGGGGCTGAAAAAATCCCAACCCTCTCATTATTTGCTCCTTCTTGTAACTAACTCTACCTCGAGGAACCTCATTTTACAGAGAAGCATCTGCGTGGTTTGTGTACGCTGATATTTGTCTCTCTCAGAGACTTGTTCTCATAGATTGACAAAGCAAAAAAAATCCTTGGCCTCTGATTTTTTTTTTTTAGTTGTAGATGGATACAATACCTTTATTTTATTTATTTATTTTTATGTGGTACTGAGGATCAAACCCAGCACCTCACACGTGCTAGACAAGTGCTCTACTACTGAGCCACAATCCCAGCCCTGGCCTCTGAATTTTTAAGAATGATTTTTTTTTAATATTTATTTTTTTTAGTTGTAGGTGAACACAATATCTTAACTTCATTTTTATGTGGTGCTGAGGATGGAACCCAGGGCCTCACGTGTGCTAGGCAAGCACTCTACCACTGAGCCACAACCCCAGGCCTTAAGAATGATTTTTAAGCCAGGTGGGGAGGTGCTTGTCTATAATCCCAGCAATTTGGAAGGCTGAGGTAGGAGGACCCCAATTTTGAGGCCAGCCTCGGTAAAACCCTGTCTCAAAATAAATAATAAAGGGCTGGGGTTGGGGCTCAGTGGTAGGTGGACGCAATACCTTTATTTTATTTATTTATTTTTAAATAAATTTATTTTTAAATAAATAAATAAAATAAAGGTATTGCGTCCATCTATAACTTTTTAAAAAAAACCCAACACTTTAAAAATAAATAAATAAAAACTAAATCTGGGTATATAGCTCAGTGGTAAAGTGACCTTTGGTTCAATTCCCAGTACCAAAGGCGGGGGAGGGGTAGGTGGTGGAGAGACTTATGAGGTATTATTTCTTTGTTTTTTTTTTGGTGGTGCTGGGGATTGAACCCAGGGCCTTGCACATGCGAGGCAAATACTCTACCAACTGAGCTATATCTCCAGCCCTCATGTTGAGGTTTTTGGTTTTTTTTTTTTTTTTTAATATTTATTTTTAAGTTTTAGGTGGACACAATATCTTTATTTTACATTTATGCGGTGCTGAGGATCCCCAGTGCCTCATGTATGCTAGGCGAGCGCTCTACCATGGAGCCACAACCCCAACCCCTCATGTTGAGTTTTTACACACATTTTTATACACATATTAGTTAATCTTCATAATACTTTATGAATACAGATGAGAAAACTGACACAGAAATAAAGAACCCTCCCCAAAGTAACACTGCCTATGAATGACAAATAAATTCAGGATATTTTTAATTTAAAGCTCATACATGTTCTGTGTACTTTGATATGTTACTTAAGTTATGACAGATGTTTTATCATTTTAAAAAAATATGTTTTAGACAGGATCTAGCTATGCTGCTCAGGCTGGTCTCAAATTCATAGTCTCAAGCAATCTTCTTGTCCCAGCCTCCCAAGTAGCTGGGACTACAGATGGACGCCACTGTGCCCAGATTATGACAGATATATTCATATCCACTTGCCTGAATGTTAATGTCTGCCCACAAATATAGGTTGGAGCGCTGGAGTAGAGAACACCTGAGGATTCAGAATCATTCCGGAGTGCTATATTTCTTCGACTGCTCAGACTGTATCCCTCAAAGCCAGTTGTCCACTCTTTTTAAAAGCAAAGATATTGAAAATTATTAGACTCCTATTCAAGGATAACTTCAATACAGACACATTAAAAATGACTACTTATAGAGGTCATGGCCAAATTTACTAAGATAAAGGGTTTCAGTTATGGGGTATCATGGTACTCTTACAAATTACAGAAAGATTTTAGTACATTCCTACACAATTTTGGTACAGCATCAATTAAGTGTTATCTCCTAGCTAATAAAAATCACGTTTTAAATCTGGTGTGATAGCACACTCCTGCAATCCCAGCAACTTGGAACACTGAGGCAGAAGAATTGCAAGCTCCAAGCCAGCCTCAGCAACTTAGCAGGACCCTGTCTCAAACTAAAAAATAAAAAGGACTGGGGATGTAGTACTGGGTTCAATCCCCAGTACAAAAAAAAAAAATCATGGTTAAAGTCTAACTGTTCGAGTTTATTCCAACCTGACTAATTAATAGGGCCTGGGAGTGTAGCTCAATGGTAGAGTGCACGGTTAGCATAAGCAAGGCCCTGGGTTCAATGCCCAGCACCACATTAAAGAAAGAACACTGCCAGGCATAGTAGCACCTGCCTATAATCCCAGCTACTTGGGAGGCCGAGGCAGGAGGAGTGCAATCATCAAGGCCAGCCTGGACAATTTAGCAAGACCCTATGTCAAAACAAAATGAAAAGGGCTGGGGTATAACTCAGTGGTTGAGCACTTGCCTAGTATGGGTGAGGCCCTGGGTTCAATCCCCAGTACTAGGGGAAAAAGAAGAAGAAGAAGAAGAAGAAAAAAAAACTACCTAATTAATAAATGAGTAGATGGCTAGGTGTGTGGCACATGCCTGTGGTTCCAGCTACTCAGGCAGATGAGGCAGGATGACTGGTAAAGCCCAGGAGTTCAAGGCCAGTCTGGGCAATATAGTAAACCCTGTCTTTTATCAAAAAAAGAAAAAAAAAAAAAAAAAAGGAGAAAAAAGAATATGTCTTTAGAAATAGTAATAGAGAAGAGAGACGAATTTCAAATCTTAAGACTTAAGAAATTGCCTCTGCCCAGATATTTATTGAAGGTTTGAAAAACTTTGTGTCCTATGCAATATATTCAATCTTTGATTTTAGGTGATGCTAAGAATATGTCTAGCATTATTTTTGAAATCCCTCGATAAGAACTGATAAAAACAATATTTATATGAAGGAACTATAATTTGAGTACAAGATGTTTCATGTTCTTCTCATCATTTCAGGATTTATCTTTAGAAAAAAGGTTGTCAGATGTGATGGACATCATTATCCAAAGTACATGTATGAAGACATGAATTGGTATGAACATACTTTATATACAGAGATATGAAAAGTTATGTTCTATATGTGTAATAAGAATTGTGATGCATTCTGCTGTCATGTATTTCAAAAATAAAAGCATTAAAAAAAAAAAAGAAAAGAAAAGAAAAAAGGTTGTCAGTAGGTAGCCCTTAGCACAGAATGTAACTGTTTCTATATGCAGTTAAGCCTTAGGGGTGAGACGGTATCGCATACCATGAGGCACCAATGTAGAATGACCTATTTGGGGGACGCTCCACGGGCTCCACTCCTGTCGGCCGTCTCCTCGGGCGCAGACTCTGAACTGATAATCAACATTGGGGTCTATGTGCAATACTATGAATTCAGTTTCAGAACCTACATAAACATCTTCAAAATGATTTGAAGAGCATTTACGGAACTGAAGCCTGTAATCTTGGGCTGTGAAGTCGTCATCCACCTAAAAAGAAAGGTTTTATGTTAGGTAAAAACCAGGAAATGAATGGGGACATTCTGGATCAAGCATACAGACCCATAGGTTGGATATGGGCTATTCTAGGGAAGACCACAGGAAATATGTCATCACTAGTTCCTTTCTTTTCTTTATTGACTGAAGTGTTTATCATACTTACCAGACTGATATTTTAAAAAATCTGATTCCTTGAAGAAATAGCATGTTTTTCTAAATAATAATGCCTTAGTAAAACATTCAGAATTCAGGAATAATTCTGAAAGATCTATACATCACTCATATAATAAAGAATTAATACTTACAATGTATAATCCTAAAAATAAACAGGAGACAAGACACTCAATAGAAAAAAATAGGCAAAAGATATAAGTAAGTTAGATTAAAAAATACAAATCGCCAAGAGCCAGGCATGGTGGCACATGTCTATAATCCCAACAGCTCGAGAGGCAGAGGCAGGAGGATTGCAGGTTTCGAAGCTGGCTTCAGCAACTTAGCAGGGCTGTAAGTAATCTACTGAGAACTTGTCTCTAAATAAAAAATGAAAAGTGCTGGGGCAGCTGGGGCTGTAGCTCAGTGACAGAGTGCTTGCCAAGCACATGTGAGGCACTGGGTTCAATCCTTAGCACCACATAAAAATAATAAAGGCATGCTGTCCATCTACAACTACAAAAAAAAAAAAAAAATTTTTTTTTTAAGTACTGGGGATGTGGTTCAGTGGTTAAGCGCTCTTGGTTCAATTCCAATGTTCCCCCCAACCAAAAAAAAAAAGAAATATAAATCGCAATTCAGGCATAGTGGCTCATGCCTATAGTCCCAGCAGCTCTGAAGCTAAGGTAGAAAGATTGCAAGTTCAAGGACAGCCTCAGCAATTTAGCAAGTCCTTAATCTTTAATCAACTTAACAAGACCCTGTCTCAAAATGAAAAGTAAAAGGGCTAGGGAAGTAGCTTAATGATAAAGTGCCCCTGGACTCAATCCCCGATACCAAAAAAAAAAGAGAGAGAGAGAGAAGAAAAGAAGACGAAGAAGTAAATGTAAATAGCCAAAAGAAAAGAAAAATATTCAAACCAATTCATAATATGGAAATGTAATGTAAAAACCATAATTAATACCATTTTGGCAAAAATAAAAAATCTGACAATACCAAGTACTGGTGAAGATGTTGAAGAACACTTTCTCATACAATGATGGAAGGCTAAACTCATGCAATCATTTTTTAAAAAGACCGGTACTACCTAACAGCATATAAATCCAATACTTTTGAGGTCTCATCATTTTACAGCTAGGTACACACCAGAAAAAAACCTTATGCCTTTGTGTAAGGAAACATGAATAAGAATGCTTATAGCAAAAAAACAGAAACTGGAAATAACCCTACATAGAGTGACCAGCAAAATAATAAAAATTAAATAAGATTCCTCAGGGTTTCTTTGTTTTGTTGGTGATGGTGGTGGTGGTAGAGAATATGAGCAATAATAGAATTCTTTTGTACCAACAAAAGCATCTCTACTTCTTTCTTTCATACTAAGACTCTTAAAAAAAGGAAAAAAAAAAAAGGTTGGGGTTGTGGCTCAGCAGTAGAGCACTTGCCTAGCATATGTGAGGCACTGGGTTCTATCCTTAACACCATATAAAACTAACTAAATAAAATAAAGGTATTGTGTCCATCTACAGCTAAAAAACTTTTTAAAAACATCCATTTAAGGGGCTGGGATTGTGGCTCAGCAGTAGAGCACTTGCCTAGTGTGCGCGGGGCCCTGGGTTCGATCCTCAGCACCACATAAAAATAAATGAATGGAATAAAGGTATTGTGTCCAATTACAACTAAACAAATAAATATAAAAAAAAAAAATCCATTTAAGAAAATACCTTCTAGAAGCTAAGCATTCCCCTCTGAATGATGTATTTCTTCACAGTTAACATATTATATACTATAGCTAATTTTGATGTTGTTTGTATTTAAAATATGATTAAATCAAACACACAACATGACTTAATATGCAAAATTCTGGGCAATGCTGAGAGTTTAAGGAACACACCTATAATCTCAGCAACTAGGGAGGCTAAGGCAGGAGAACTGAAAGTTCAAAACCAGCTTAGGCAATGTAGTGAGGCCCTAGGTAACTTGGAGAACCTGTCTCAAAAATAAATAAAATAAAAAGGGCTGGGGACAGGCCTTAGTGGTTAATCATTCAATCCCCAGTACCAAAAAAATCTTATTTCGGGGGCTGGGGTTATGGCTCAGGGGTAGAGCGCTCGCCTAGCATGAGCAAGGCCCTGGGTTCGATCCTCAGCACCATATAAAAATAAAATAAAGATATTGTTTCCAACTATAATTAAATATATATATATGTATATATATATATATATATATATATATATA